CGCCTATCCCTAAGCTCGCTCGGCTTTGCAAGCGCGCATTGCGCGCTCAGCTCATTCGGCTTGGTCAAAACGTCCAAGCCGAGCGAGCTGAGCGAGCCGGCTCGCTCGTTGACAAGTATGGATAGCGGGATCAGCTGTGAGAGAAGCGAGGATAGCGAGAGTAGGAAAGCAGGATTGCGAGGACAGTAAGAGCAACAAGGGCAGCGCAAGAAAGGGGCGAACGGCAAGGGAATTAACTATTAAGTTAATTGTAGCGATTGCAAGGACAGCGGGAACAGCGAGGATAGTAAGGGCAGTAAGGGTAGAAAGGACAGCGGAAGCAGCGAGGACAACGAGGACAGCGAGGATTGTAAGGACAGCGGAAGCAGCGAGGACAACGAGGACAGCGAGGATTGTAAGGACAGCGGAAGCAGCGAGGACAACGAGGACAGCGAGGATTGTAAGGACAGCGGAAGCAGCGAGGATAATGAGGACAGCGAGGATAGTAAGAACAGCGAGGATAGTAAGGACAGTAAGAGTAGCGAGGATAGCGAAAGTAGGAGAGTAGCAGTAGCAATAGCAGTAGCCGGAGGTGTATATAAGCTGTAAGAGGTAAGAGGTAGAAGTAAGGATATTATAAGCAGCAAGGATAGCAGGGGCAGAAGCGGCAACAGGTGCAGGGGTAGTAGGAGTAGTAATAAGAATATTAAGAGCAGTGCAAGTTATAAGGACAGGGGACAAAGTAAGGACAGTAGAGATAGTAAGAGTATCAGAAGCAGCGAGAACAGAAGCCGTAGGATTGATAGCGAAGATATTAAGAGCAGCAAGGAAAGCGAAAGTAGCGAGGGTAGTAAGAGCAGCGACAAGAGGAGCGGTAGCGGCCGCCGAAACCGCAGTTACCGCAGGTGGAGGAGGCGTAGGAGGTAAGGGGCAGAAGAGAGCAGTAGAGACAGCGGGAACAGCGGGGAAAGCGAGAGCAGCAAGAAGGACGGGGATAGTAGAGATAGAGGAAGTGGCGAGAGCAGAAGCAGTAATAGGGAGGATTGCGGAATGCGGAGGAGTAAGAGCGGTAGGAGTAAGAGTAGCAAGAGCAGGACGTAGAAGTAAGAGGGGTAGGAGCAGGAGCAGTAAGAATAGCAGGAGCAGTAAGAATAGCAGGAGCAGTAAGAATAGCAGGAGTAGTAAGAATAGTAGGCGTAGCAAGAGTAGGAGCCGCAGTGGCGATAGTGTAGAAGCGGCAGTAAACACAGGTGTAGTAGTAGCCGTAGGAATAATAACGAGCATGTTGAGAGCAGTAAGGACGGCAGGAACAGTGGGAGTTGTAATAGTAGAACCCGTAACTGTAATTAAATAGATCGTAAGAGTGATAGTCACGATAGAAGGAAAAGTTACAAGAATAGTAGCTGTAGCCGTGGTAGAAGCAAGAGTAATTATAATAGAGGCAAAGATAGTAACAGTAGTAAGAGTAATAAGCACAGTAAGGGTATAGTAAGAGCAAAAGTTTAAAGAAGAGTTATTTATGTTAAAAATAAGTATGCAGGTATAAAGCAAAGAAAAGAAAGATTCGAAAAGAGAAAGTATTAAGTCGGTGAGATTCATAATCGATAGATAAGGTAGGTAAAACAGGTATAGTTTGTAGTATATATTAGATAGTGTTTGAGAAAGAAATCAAGCATAGAATCAAGTAGGATTCAAGGATTAGGATTGTAGTAGAAGACAGAGCAAGTTATTAGGAATACATTAATAAGAAGATAGAAGAAAAGATTAAGTTTATATAAAAGTAGAGTAATAAGAAGAAGATATAAATAAAAAAGATATAAGAGATTATGTTTCAATAATATTAAAAAGAGATGTTAGAAAAGAAAGAAGAAT